TGCAAGTAAAGCACCATCACTATTTTGCTGGTCATTAACAGATACATGTTCAGCTTCCTGGACATAACATAATGACAGCCCCAAGTTCATCGTCTAGACCTTTACCGATATCTTGAAGTTTTTGGGTAGTACGCATAATAGAGGTAACATATTGATACATAGGTACTGCTATGCTTAGTAAGCTTTTCATCTAGAATAGAATTTAATAGGGTGATCCTTCTGTTCTCGCCTTTACTTTCAAATACCTTTTCTAGTTCGTCCCAAGCTTGCTGAACAGTTGATGCATTCCTCAAGTATGGATAAATATGTGGTTGGACATTTAAGCAAATAGTCGCTAGTGCATCTTGATCGTTATCCGTGTCTTAAGACGGTATTTCTTTTTGCTTATACGTAAATCTCAATCTCTCAACTCAATAACAACATTTTCATCGCAAATTTCCATTCTGGATAATCATCCACTCCGTTGAGTTTATTAATCACGGCACTGTTTTTCTGCATTCCTGGGCCCATAACCACTTAATAATATTAGTAATAACAGTGGATAGGGCGTTGTAAATAACTTTAATTATATATTTGTAATATAAGATGACTTATCACAAGACGTTTATTTATGATAGAATCCTAGGAAACTTAAGACATTAGACTTTCTTGTAATTTGATATAGCTACTTCTAGCAGCATGCTAAAGAGGTTTTATCAACATAAAAAATACCACGAAGATAATCAGATGTTTTGCGAGCCAGAATTGTAACTTTGAGGGAAGAAGGCTATTCTACGAGAGAAATAGCACGCATAGTTGACATATCCAAATCCTGTGTAGTAACCACGTTGCAGAAATACCACGGGATGGGTAATTTAGCTGATCGACCACGCAGCGATCGCTCAACTGTTTGGCAGCTGCTTAGAAGTGCTACATCAGGTTGCTGGTAGCCCGAAACCCAACAATAAACGCCACTAAATTAAAAGCAGAAAGCGAATCGCGAATCAGTTATCATCCAGATAACCGCTGTGTCCGTGTTTGGAGAAGACCTTGAAACTCTGAAAGGCAAAAAACGGAAACTGGAACGGTTCAGCAAGGCGGTAAATCATTGTCCTTTTGGGGTGGTATTATGATGGGGCCTTTAATCCTAATGTCAAGGCTTCATGACGGCAGACAGATACAAAACAGTCGCTATTGATGGAATCGTCAGATCTTTCCGAGTAAACCATGGGCGCCAATTTGTACTGGTTGACGATAATGCGCCCGCACACCGAGCTCAACGAGTCAATGCTGCTCTCCGAGAATACGAAATCACAAGGTTAGACTAGCCCGCCGGCTCTCCTTACTTAAACCCAATAGAGTACGCGTGACCACCACCCCAGACAGTACTGCAGCTCAGGGAAGCTTCTGTTCAAGAAGGGGACAGGTTACCACAAGAAATGCTGGATAACTTGATCCTCAGCATGCCCAGGAGAATCTCCGCATGTATTCGAACCAGAGGAGGAGTTATTTTGTATGAGATAAAAACAATTTATTAATAAAAGGTTTTTAATTTTGGTTAAACTATCTTTTTATTTCTATCAAAGTTCTATTACAATTATTTGCTTTAGGATTGAATAATTATTTTTTTTTATACTAAAAAATAATATTAGTTTTATTTTTTAATTTAGGAAAGTGTATTTTTAAAGAAAAAAAGATATAACGTAAACATTTTCTCTTGATTAAGTTAAATTTTGAAATTATATCAGCTTTTGCAAGTGATCTCAATATTTTTAGATGTGTGTATGCTGTGGCCTCTAAAGAATTCTTCTTATGTCAAGTATATAGAACAAATTTAAATGATTCGATAGAATGCATGAAAGCCAGGCATTATAGATGCACTCACAGTCGTCTTTTGAACGTTCACTCGGTAAATACGTAAATACTTTAAGCTTGAACTTCGTCGCACTCAATTTAGCAATAATCACGTTGCATGATCTATGCCATGGCGATACGATAAAAAGCTTTGCTATAGGGTATTCGCCATAACGACGCAGATCTAACGCATGCAAGTGTTCTCCTACGTATCGTCCTATTCTTTCACTATTTCTTATTCTAATCACTTACCTCTATATGCTTTGTTTTAGCAATATTGATCAATAATTGGACTGCAACAAGATTAGAAAGATATTTTGATACGAAGTTGATTATTATCTGAAAATGCATTGAAAATTTATCAAAAATTAAGGCACAATTTTATACTATCGTCAAAATGAGTCGCGAAATTAAATGGTACTCACAGGAAATGCCGAGATTTTTTGTAAGATACTATACGAACGCATCAAGTTGTGATGGGATGTCAACATTTTGTTCAAGAAGATCCAGTCTTTAATCTCACCGTTATTATGTGATCCTCTTTTATGAATGTAACAATTTATATTTAAAATCCACACTTCTAAAACTTTCCGCATCATTTTTATCATCTGTATCGCATAAACTAACGTTATATCGATAAAAAGCAAATCAAAACGATTCAAAACTATATACACAGTGTAAACTCCATCTAAAGTAGCAGTACGAATACTTATTGCAAAAAAGAAAAAAAATAAACTACTTATAATGATCCAGTTATTCATAATCAAAGGTTTCATGTGACGCCTCCCGAATTTTACTTCATTCATTGCATGCTGCATACTTTTAATAACTTCCACATCATCATTGTTGTGTTTCCAAATTGATGTGAATATAGTGATAAGAATCATGAAAATTTGAAAATATTGGATGTATGTTATAAAGTCCGCGTAAGGGGCGTATTTATTAAAGTACACTTTAAAAGCATGATAGTATGTACCAATATAACAGATTACACCGATTAATATAGTCCACGTAGTAATGACGCCATTTGGTGTTATGAAATTTGAATTTATATGGTATTTGCGGCAAAGGATTGCGGTGTGCGCAAGATTTAGAGGTAGCAGGAAATCTTGAATTTCCACATTGAGACAGTTATCTAGCATAAATTCAGTTGACCAGATTTTTGCCATATTTTTATTATGATTTTATTTGATAAAATTTTAATAAGGTATTTCCACTTTAAGCAAAAAGCGCTAACGCTATGAACTTTGTTGAAGTCAAGCTTTCAATAAATGATATTACAGAAATTTAAATGTCCTTTAACAAATTACAATGTATACAAACACCATCAAAATTATTTCTGTCAAACATTGAGGTAGAGATAGTATCTTATCTATTAGTATAAAAGAAAACAATGTGAAACGATAATCAAGTCTAGTAATGGTCGTAACTGACACATCAATTTGGTAAGGAATCGTCACCGTATCAAATAGAGCCGTTCAGTATTTATTGGAAACTTCCTACTGCAAAGAACACTAATCGGAATCATAATGTAATCATCTCGCATCGGGATAAACTCCCGAACGTGCGTAGTCAACTCACCATACCCTAGCTTACATATATCCGTAGCCTAGCCTACGCCTCTCTCTCTGCGTAGCCTAGCTTACGTGTTTATCCGTGTTAGCCTCTCTCGCCACCTGCGTTGCCGCACATGCTGTCCATAGAAAAAGCTCCGTTTTAAGTGGTTAATGGAGAGGTTACTTTTTCTATGACTGATAGAACTGGTGCCTTCAACCAGCGGTCGGCAAGCCGCAAGCGTGGCGTCGCCTACCCGTAGCCGGTCCGAACGTACTGCAGCTGCTTGCCGCTTACGTTATATTCTACGTATGGTGGACGCCTGTTCGGTTCAGTTAGGCGGCTTAAGCGTGAAGAGTTAACTCGCTTAAGCCGCCTAACCGACTTTATTTCCCTGACTTTAAAAGATTTTATATGTAAATAAAATTAAGCATTACAACTTCCTGCCTTAGCGTCATAGCACACCTATTTACTCGGAAAGTGCGATGCTATCGGCAAGCCGAAAGGCAAGTCGGTATCGACTACGCGGTTACAAAGACTATTTTTCGATTTAGGGATCCTTTTGCGAAGTATTAAACTTTAAAGTGCTGATTTTTGAAAATTCTGCAAAATATTAATTTTGCAGATTGATAATGATGATAGCGCTTTTCATAAACTTTTTAGGAAAATTATAACGGTTAAAGATATATTAGTTAGATAGTCATTCAATATATGTTTTAGAAGCTTTCTTACCTAATAGAAAATCTTTAGAAGAAAACATTAACAGTGACTTAGGGCCCGTTGTTTCACCGATATATTCTAATCTATATAATATATATCTATAATATATATTATAATCTATGATATATATTTATATTCTAATAAGAGTTAACCCATGGACTTATAAATATACAGGATGTCTCATTGAAATCAGCAAGTATGGGAAATTTTAAAACTATAAGACATACAAAGATCACAGATCTTTGTTTAGTTTATAAACCATGACATCGATTTTAATAAGAAGAAAAACTGCATTCATACATTAAAAAAAAACTGTACTCGAGTTTATTAAAAAAATGGACTTACACTATTTCTATTTAGATATCGATTGTTTAGGTCTTAAGCAGTTCATGACTTTATGGAACATGATGTCTTAAATGAATAAAATTCGTTGTTTTCACATACTTTAATTTATTTTAGTAGGTGTTCGAACTATTCAACAAGTTCAGCCACATAAAATTGTCTCTATGGTTGTTTGTACTTCTTTGCTGGTGTCGCAACTTGTTACATACACCGCTTTCAATCAAAATTTTTAAATTATGTATTCATAACGCTTGTCAGTTTCATTTTGTAAGATTAATCTGACACATTATTAATCTGAAATAATCAGAATGTGAGTGAATTGTTGACAAATAGTATGCAATAACGTGCGCACTATTTAATAAAATGAATTCATGAAGGCAATTGTGTATGTATGAATTCATTTTATATTATTATTCCAGCTATGATTCAGATTGTGTAAGGCCATCGCTGTAACCGGTTTACTAAATGCATGTACTTGATCCATAGTCCCTGTTGATGTATTTATTTTGCCTTTGACCATTCTCTTTAGTATTTTGCCTTTGACCATTCTAGTAATTAGAGATCATAAAATCCGTGACAGATTAATGTCAAAAAATATTTTTCCCAAAGACACAGAATTGATAAAATAATAATTGGTTAGACCTTACCCTTTAATTATATTATTACAATTTCTAACCGAGGTTATAGCCAAATAAGTAATTTGAGAATAACAGACGAACTACATATTTTATATTTGATAAATATTTATTACATTACTAAGAAAACAAACAGTTACCAGAAATGGCGCTCTCATTGCGAAGGAGTGAGCAAATGACACAGTGTGACCTTTTCATACAGCCAGAGGCAGCGTTTGAAATATTATCAGAGCTTGGTGAAATGGGATGTGTTCAGTTCTTAGACGTGAGTACCAGACTTAACAATCTTAATCCGCATCCTACCCTGGCAAAGAAACAAACAGACAATTTTTTTTTGTTAAAAAAATGGCCAACAAGCTTAATGCCTTCCTGGTAGTAAGCGGTCACCATAGCCTATTACCAAAAACTCACTCGCACCGCTGTCTAGCCTGACCTAATCCCCTACCCCTCGAACGTTAGTGTTAGAGCAATTGAAATAGCGCGGTAAAATGATAAGCAGTAATGAGATATAATTAATTAATAAAATATATTTTCACAAGATAAACAATTTAGTAGACAATAGAGAATAGCGATTGACAAGACGTTCATGTAAACAATCATAAAGGTTTGACAGTTCGGTGGCCAGCACCAACAGTTAGTCACCGACAGATTCAGAACACCACCAGAAGGTAGTTTTTTTACTGTTGTCTTCTATTACCAGATTTTTATAGAACTACGGTACATACTTATACAGTATTTTATAATATGACCTTTATTAAAACTAGATAAATTCTTTTCACTAACTAAATGGTTGTCTGGAAGAAATGGCTACATAGCCATAAGACCGCCAATTGTCCACCTTTTTTTAATTATTGTCCTAATTTTGTATTTTATAATGTGGTGTGTACAATAAAGAATCTATCTATCTATCTAAATAGTAGTCTGGATGTCGTACTGTGTTTTTTGCAAAGAAGAGCATTATTTACCATTTGAAAATAGTACCAAATTGTTAAGATAAGTTTCTGGCTAAAAAGAATCAATTCATATCACCAAGCGTGGTAACAAATCATCCCAGACCCACCATACCCCTAGCCATACCCCTGGGGGTAGGGTGAGACTGAACCATACCACCGTTGTAGTGATGGGATTTGATGGAAAATCCGAAAGCCGTTCTGGCAAAATCTAAAATTTTTCTAGTTAAATTTTCTTTAGATTTAAACATCAATCAGTCACATGCTTTATAATAATAAAAATTATAACTATAATTGCTATTTCTTCTTTCAAATGTTTAATACTTGTAAAAGTATTCATTTCACTTTGTGGGTTATCTATAATGCGAAACGATGGCGCTGCCTTGCAGCTTAAGAATGGCTAGAAGAATTTCGACGCGGTCCGTGAGGGCCGCGGTAGCATAATTGGTCAGTGCATTCGCCCGGATTGCGAAGGGTGCGGGTTCGAGTCCCGTCTGCTGCCTGATCCGCGTGGAATTTTTTCTAGTTATATTTTCTTTAGATTTAAACATCAAGCAGTTACATGCTTTAAAATAACAAAAATTATAACTATAATTGCTATTTCTTCTTTCAAATGTTTAATACTTGTAAAAGTATTCATTTGACATTGTGGGTTACCTAAAATACGAAAAAATGGCGCTGCCTTGCAGCTTAAGAATGGCTAGAAGAATTTCGATGCGGTCCGTGAGAGCCGCGGTAGCATAATTGGTCAGTCATTCGCCCGGATTGCGAAGGGTGCGGGTTCGAGTCCCGTCTGCTGCCTGGTCCGCGTGGAATTCTTTCTAGTTATATTTTCTTTAGATTTAAACATCAAGCAGTTACTTATATGCCTTAAGAAAATTAAAAATTTAAATACTTATTTTGTTATTTATCTTAAACAGAAAAAAATTCAGAGATGTTAATCTATGTTCTTAATTTATCTAACGCATTCCCAATGGTGATTTCATTGTGCACTAACTGCATTTGGACTTCTATAATAAAATTTATCATTAATAATTTGTTCCGCTCGACGTTTTTAGGAGTAACTTTTATTTTATGAATATTTTGAAAAAGATTTAACAGTCGCAAAACATATTCGATGTCTTTCATAAACGCCGAAAAGGTCTGGAGTATGTATTTTTACCCAACAATTTTCAATATACCTTATGGACTTATGCATCCGTTTTAAGCTATCGCATTCAGATTTAATATAATCTAGTCCTACTAATATTTCATCGGCTAAGGCAGGCATAAGGCGGCCGTCATTCCCACGATTCTTCTCTCAGGTTTCGTTTGTGTAATGCGGAACTGCGGCGATTTAGCATTTTTCCATATGTTGCGTACCCCGTGGTAATAGCATCCCTTTATAGTGCAATTTGAAAAGACTTTCAAAATTGCATTCAATGCCACTTTTTCATAATCACAGTGTATTTTAAATGGTTTCGACTCTATTAATCCAGGCAACGATAAGGTATAGAGAGAAATGCTTAGAACACAATTTTTGACTTCGTAACTTTGTTAGGACTAGTTAGGAGGTAAACATATCAAAAGTCCCTGCCCGTAGCCCTTAAGCCGGGGGGAAGGGGGGGATTGAAGGTCCCATTTTTAGGGTTTTCGCATATATCTCGGAAACTATGCATCCTAGCAACATGAGACTTTGACAAAAGTGAAAGCTGATTAAATTTGCTACAAGTCTTATTCAGTCAAGTTTTTTTGATATCTTGTATAGTTTTCGAGATATCCGCTCTTAAAAGTCAATAATTTTGGCACAGAAAACTAAAATACGACTTTGTTCCCCAGCTTGCTCGTGGTAGTAATAGGCCAATAGGAAATCTTTGAACTGAACCAGTACTTCAACTTCACCAACATTTTTGAACGCAGTCTTGGATACGTTTACCGATTTATACCTTGTATTGTGTAAAACATGTTTAAAAATTTCGTAGGAAGGAAAACTCCCCATTGCTATATTGAGTCCCTTGTCTGTAAATTCAGTGTTTTTTTGTTGTTATGTAATCTTAAGAGGGGTTCATCGCAAGGTATCACTGTCTCTCGCAAATCACAAACTTGTTTTAGTTATTTGATTTTAACTTTCATCAACTTCCCTAGTGTGGTGTCTCTTTTCTTCGAACTATTGTGTTCTCCTAAAATATAAAAAAAAAACAAATAACAATCATTAAATATTATACTTATATCACGGCGATATAAAAGAAAATAAATGACACCTTGATATAAACTTGTAACTGACTTACTTTCTGTTCACAATTAGACTGAAAGAACACACCGAACTGAAAGTAATAGTTAACTCTGCAATAGCCAAAGTACCGCAACATTTACTATAAAATATGAGCTACATCTTCATACCGCTGATTCTGATGCCTGCTGATGATATTTTTTGTGGTGATGATAACGGTACTTGCCACAAAGTAGAACCGTTCCATTAATTTTAATAAAATAAAGTCCTTCTGTGGCCATTTTTGTTTAATTATTCACATCGATAGTAAAATGACAATGAAAAAAAGAATTGTATTTCAATGTCACTCAATAAACAGTTTATCAACTTGTGCAAGAAGTCTTAATATTAAACTGGGTTTGGTTTTGAACCTTTAATTACCAATTGCAAGCGACAGAAGGATACTTAAAATAAATACACTATAAGATTATTATTGAGAACAATCAAATAAAACCTTAATATAAGTACATATTTATACTTTATCATGTGGGATGCTATTAACACCAGGTACCAACGTAATATTCGGAAAAACAAAACCTGAAAACAATGGTGGCATGGTTCAGTCCCACCCTACCCCCAGGGATGGCAACAAATATTTGCATAGATTACTGTTCAACTATTATATTATGTTCAACTATTAATTAATTATTACTACGTGTAAAGCTCTTAATATAATTAAATTGATTAAAAGCGATTCGCGGACTTTTTTAATGCTGTAGTTACCAGACTTTACCAAGTATTCATGATCTTTAGTTATGAACTACGGCAAATCAATAAAATAAATTTCTAATATATTTTTTTTCACATAGCGTCGTAATTTTAATAATGATATCATATCTGAGCTAAGTTTAGCCAACTAAGGCACTACGTTTAATATCAATTATTAACTATAAAATAAAATAATAATGAAAATTAACTCAAATCAAATAAGTAAAGTAAAATATTCATCCATAAAATATGGTTTAATAAAAATTCCTTTAGTCTTATTAATGGAAAACTTAACGGTGACCTTTAACGAGTATGACTCATCAGACAATATTTACAGACTTTATTATAGGTTGTTTATAAATAAAATAATACATAACGCGACTCCACATCAGGATAGAGTGTTTAAGGAATGTTTTATATTTATTACAGACTAAAGAAGATTTGCAGATTTTCCAGAGGAGTTATGTGGCAGAAGTACGCCGTTTTGCTGAAATGGAGAGAAAACTGCGGTACATAGAAATGGAAGTGTTTTCAGCAAACATAACTATACCGCCTGCAAAACAGGATCCGCGAGCTTTGAATCCAAACGAAACACTGGCTTTTGAAGTAAGTTCGAGAAATTTAAGATGACGTAATTAATTGCAAATATCAAGCACATAATTGCTAGATGGTGGGATTGATGGTGGAATTGATGGTGGGATTGATAATGGGATTGTAACAACCTTTAATGATCATAGTCATATACGATAATCATTAACCCCCTTATTAATAAATAAGGAATAAGCATAGACTAGTTACGCCGTATTTTGTTCATGTCACTCAAATGCCTTATGTCATTTGATGAACAGAGACAAAACATATAGTAACTTATCCAAGCTTATTCTTCGTTTATTAATAAGGGGGTAATGGTTTTATCAAATCTACGGATGTCGGGATGGTGTTCGGAATTATAACACCAGTTCACGCTTGACAGTTCTTTATTCACCACACACAAGTCCTTGACAACTTCTTGATAGCGTATCCCGTACAAGATTTTCCTACCAGACGTACCGTCGTGCACCTGTCTTATCACCTGAGCCACTTTACACCATGGGACCACCGTTTGCAGAGTCTGATCTTTACTAATCAGTGACTCCCATTTCCGATATAGCACATCTACTTGTAACATAATGCCCATTACTGTCTCATTGGGCCCAATATGCCTACGTTATTGGGTTTGAAGCTGATATGGTTACTCCATGATGGTTTCTGTACTTCAATTTTCCCCTTTATTAACAGGTCCTTTTCCTGTGCCTAAGATATTTCCTCCAGGATTCATCAAATTTTTGAGCCCTTATCTTGACTTTGTCTATGCACTCGCAATTTCAACAGTGTTGTCCTCTCCCCCTCCTCAGCATAGGGCCGCCTTGATAATGTGTTGGCGTGCGTCTTTCCGCTTCGGCATTCTATTGCGAAGTTGAACTCTTGCAGCTGTTCTATTCATCTTGCAACTTGGTCTTCAGGCTTTTTAAACTGGAGTAACTATTTAAGCGCAGCATAGTCTGTACGCTTAGTGAACTCTCTTCCCATCAAGTACTTATTGAAGTAATTTACAACACAGGACAGTCTTGGTTTTCATTTATGTAAAATCGGCTTCAATAATGCACACTGTTAAGGTTTTTTAAATATTTGATATGACAAGCACGTGATACACTTACGCATTGGTAATTGGGTGTTGGCACCTGCCTACTCATCACTCGAATTATTGATTTATGAATGTATCTGATACTGACTATTGAGACGTTTAATAGAAATTATCATATCTCTCTGATTTTTACCGTAGGCATAATTAATACCTACATGGATTTTTTGTTTTTGGATTATTGTGGAGCGTGTTTGCTGAGTGAGTTACACAAATCATCACTAATTAATCCTTATTAATGTCCCCCCTGCTGGGGCACAGGATTTCCAAAGGAGATAAAGCTATGACATTATGAGTTAAAATAAAAAAAATATTATCAGTACATTTTGTAAATCGAGCTTTTATTATTATATGCCCAGCTTAGAAATGAATAAATCTTCGTTATTTATACTTGTTAATAAATTAGCAAATATATCGGCATATGGACCGTACTCTCGGAGCATTTCAAGTGGTAAACTGCACAAGCGATGGGAACAAGTGTTGTTTCCGCAACTTCGGTAGCGCAAATAATGGATGTCATTTACGGTGTCAAGTACCTCGGATATAATTTAGGGGTATATTTAATCCATTCAATTTCACAGCTGCTGGAATATACCTTATAGCGGAGTGGTAAGCTATAGTAACTGTATGGTCCGTCAAAGCTTCCGAGTATCCAAACCCACTGTTGCACCCACAAATAAGGACATTATACAAAAACAGATAGTAACCAAATAACTTATTGAAAACGAACGAGTTCTATATTATTATTATTTATGCAATCAATGCATATTTTGCTGCTCTTACATTCCGTAACGTATTCCGAACCGAACTCTTATTTACTACCTATAAAATGAGGTAGAAAATAAGGTAGTTGTATTTGTTTCTTAGGTTTTAGTACCACGAAATTATGAGGCTGTCTGTACGGATAACACAGCTCTGCAACAAACAAAACAGCCGTACATCTAACTACTAGGTCAGCAATACTAGGACCATAAAATTCACTTCAATAATGTTTACTACAATCACGAAACATGCCATACCAAAAACACTTTGCCGGTCAAAAAGTACCCGAAATCCCCTGCCCTGAACCAGGCCAGGCTTTGAGTGCTCAGGCAATTATAGTACTTCCTGCTACAACATTACAGAATCATGTAGACGTAAGATGGTAGTTGCTGTCTGAGTACGTGCTGCGGATCTGGACACTGTTTTCATAAGAATGTGCTTAAATATTCGAAATATATAAAACAAAAATAAAATGTGAAGAAGCAAATGGAAACAGCAAGCGATGAAGGTCTCGTTGCTCATTCATTTTCTTGTCCTGATGTTATAGGGTACAACTTATCGGTATCTTTTAGTGGTTTACCTGAACTTTGATTAGATGCAAGGTTACAGTAGTAGTGGTACTAGTCCCAAAAAAAATATTAATAGTTATTTATGATACAAGTGCGGTAAGGTAGTTATTACAAATGAATGTAACCATAGTCACGAGTTTGTAATACCAATCCGCACGCACGTCATACAATGTATTTTAACATATTTGCGAGAAAACATTATACATAATTTAAGTAATTAAGTATTTTTTTTTCTAATAAGAAAATGGCGCGCATTTCCAAATTGCGCCTCGTGCGGGTGGTGAAAATTAGAACTTTTTTTTTTTTTTTTTTTATAGATAGGTCCGACAAATGACTCCACCCCACCTGATGTTAAGTGAAGGTGAAGTCCAGACGTGACGATAGCTGATACAGCAGTTTTACCTGCCACACCAGCCATCTTCACCCTGCCGGCCTGCATGTTGCTTCTTCACGCCTCTTTTAAAGGATCCCAGGTTGTAAGAGGGAGGGAACACGTGAGCGGGCAGAGCATTCCATTTACGGATAGTGCGACAAAGAAATGAGTCACCAAATTTCTTTGTACGCGTTGGAATTGTGGCCACAGTTAGACGATGACAACGTAGGCCAGCGCGCGTGGTCCTCTGAAGGAAAGGAGAAGGTGGGATAAGAGAGAATAACTCCTCAGAACACTCGCCGTGGTACAAACGATAGAACGCGCTTAGTGACGCCACGTCACGGCGTAATTGAAGAGGCTCAAGGTGTTTAGTCACCTCCTCATCGCCTATGATGCGGATCGCGCGCCGCTGTAACCTATCCAAAGCATCGAGCAAGTACTTGGCGGAGCCATCCCAGAGGTGCGAGCAATATTCCACGCAGGACCGCACTTGCGTTTTGTACAACAAGCACAGTTGATCGGGCGTGAAAAAACGCCGCACCTTGTTCAGGACTCCGAGTTTGCGTGAAGCTGTTTTGATCACGGTTTCGATGTAGTTCTTTGGATTCAGGTCTGAGCGAACTTCCATACCGAGCATAGAAATGTTGCTCTGCAGCGGTAGTGTTGTGCCCTGAAGAGATGGAAGGGGAAGGAATGACGATGTTTTTGCCGTGAAGGCGCAAGCCTGAGTTTTTTTGGCATTGAACTCAACCAAGTTCCTGGTACCCCATTCGGAAATGTGGTCCAAAGCCTGATTGAGTTCAATGACAAGATTCTCGCGTTTCTCCTTGGTTACCGCCAGCCCAGCCGCTGCTTGTCCGAGATACCCCGCATGCACTGTACTATCGTCTGCATAGCAATGAATATTCCCAAGAGGAATTAAGTCATTGATATGCAGCAGAAAGAGAGTGGGGGATAGGACGGAGCCCTGGGGAACGCCGGCATTCACTGACATGAACCGCGAACTGCTACCATCCGTAAGGACACGAATTCTACGCTCATGCAGGAAGTCAGCTACCCAAGAACAGAACTGGGCTGGCAGACCGTATGCCGGAAGCTTGGAGAGAAGGCTTTTGTGCCAGACCCTGTCAAACGCCTTGGCAATGTCAAGGCTGATAGCCAACGACTCGCCACGCTTGTCGATAGCCTCACCCCAGATATGAGTTAAGTACGCTAGAAGATCACCCGTCGATCGTTTCGGTCTAAAACCATATTGACGATCATTAATCAAGGAGTGATCCTCTAGGTAGCGGGTCAGATGGTTATTAAGGACCTTTTCTAAAACTTTACATAAAACTGAGGTGACTGCTATTGGCCGGTAGTTTGCCGGGTCTGAGCGATCCCCTTTTTTGGGCACCGGTTGCACATTGGCATCTCTCCAAGTCTCCGGCACACGCCCCAAAGAATACGAGCATTGGTACAAGCGCGTGAGCACGGGAGACAACTCCGCTGCACATTTTTTGAGTACTACTGCTGGGATGCCATCAGGTCCACTAGCTTTCCGGACGTCGAGTGATTGCAATTCGGCACGAACCTCGCGCTGCCTGATTTTAATATCAGGCATCATTGTGCCACAGTGAGGTAAAGATGGTGGCAGTGCATTGCAATCATCGATTCGGGAGTTAGCCGCAAAGAGTTTTGCCAGTAAATCGGCTTTCTCCTGCGGCTTATGGGCTAGTGTTCCATCTGGGCATCTCAGAGGTGGCAGCGAGGGCTCGCAGAAGTTTTTTTGCACGGCCTTGGCCAGACGCCAGTAGCTACGGGAACCCGTAGGATGCGTCATAAGTTCCTGGCCAACACGTGCAACGCGCTGGGCATCCGCTCTAATGTAAGCCTTCTTACAGGCCTTGGAAGCAAAATTGTAGGCTGCTTTGAGTGCATCGACCTCGGGATCCTTGAGAGCGCGACCTCTGATCCAAGCACGATATGCCGCTTGCTTACGCGAAGCAGCTTCAGCACAGTCGTGATTGAACCAGAGGTTACGCGTGCCCTTACTGATGAGATCAGAATGAGGAATATAGTATTCCATACCCATTATAATCTCCTCAGTAATGGCAACGGCACTGGCCGATAGGTCCCTGTCACTGAAGCAGCGCTGCTTCCAAGGGACGGACGCAAAGTAGTCACGCATACCGTCCCAATCTGCCGACCCATAATGCCAGATACGGCGCTTGACCACTGCTGGACGCGGAGGCTTGGCCTGTGGTGCTTTGGCAGATATCAGGCAGTGGTCTGACGAGCCGAGCTCTTACCACAACCTGATAGCCCTGTGGATGGGTCGTGAGCAGAAGGTCCAGTAAAGAAGGCGCTTGACTTGGAATATCTGGGATCCTGGTGGGCTGATCAACCAGTTGCTTCAAGTCATGCGTGAGAGCGAATGCGTGAGCAGAGATCCCTGCATGGTCAGTTTTGGAGGAACTTAACCACAAATTGTGGTGAGCATTAAAGTCCCCCAAAAACACCAATTCTGCATTGGGAAATTGTTCCTGCGCGTCATCTGCTGCCCGACTAAGGTGTTCAAAAAGTCGAGTTGTCTCAACATCGCCGGTGTGGGATCTGTAGAGACACACGTAAACTCTGGCCAGGGGGCCAGAGTCGACGTGTACCCCCAGCATGGAGAAGGAGGGATCTTCCAAGCAGCGGAGACGGCGACAACAAACATCCGCCCGAACATACAGGCATACACCGGCTTTCGCTTTGAAGGACTCTTCAAGCACGTAGCCGGGATAATTAAGGTAGCCTGTGTCAGCAGGCGGAAGTATTTGTGTCTCCGTCAGGAACAACAATGCTGGCCGTGCTGTCTCAAGATGGTGGTGGACAGCGTTGAGGTTAGAGTGGAGTCCGCGTATGTTGCAGAACTCGACCTCAAACAGCGTTGAAGGCGTGGGGGTGTGCACCGCTGAACGTCCAAACTTTGTTTTAGGAGCTGCCATTATGGAAGTGAAAAAGAGACGTGAAACGAGTGGACGTTGTCGCGACAAGACCGGGCAAATTAGGGAGGCATGTTTCCCCGAATGATTGCCTGCAGAGGATATACGCCGACCCGCCGGACGGAAGGGCCCCCGCACCCTCCCGGAAGTGGCCGCCGGGACCCCACGCCCCGGTCACCAACCGGCACGACGGTCCACCCCGAGATTATGCGTGACATGATAGGGCAGCCTCGCGAACTGGTTAGGAACGCTCGGGCCCCTGTACTATGCCACGGGCGGCCAGCGGGACAGCCGTTTCTACGGGTCTCCCTGGCCGGCGGGTCGATGCAGTCCTCCCGGCATCGGTTCCACGGATGCCTAGCCCTGGACCGAATCCGTCGCGACAACCTCCACTCGAGCCCTGGTTGTACGCTACATCTTTGGGCTCTTTTTCTATATAATATCAAAGGTACAATTCCGCAATGGGCTCCAGGCGACAACCGCAGGCGACACTGAGGCTAGCGCCTGCGGCTGACCGTGCATTATATGCATTGTGCAACAGCGGCATGTTGCCGCGCTCGAAATCAATTTCATAGAGATTCTTAGAAACTAGTAGTGTCGCCTGTAGTCTGCAGTTCAGTTCGAACTCGTACCTTAAAAAGAGACATATAGACTAAAAGCGATTCCGAGGCGGTTTGATCGAAATTAACAAAAACCGTAAAGAACACGCACGGTGCCATGTATGCGAGCGTGCGTAGTGAATTTTTACCACCCGCTCAGCCGTATGACCCGTAATTTTAAATTTTCGTACAATGTATAGAACCTTCGTAAATGTATTTTTTGAGCAAGTGTACTTAATAGTATTACCAAACTGTTGCCACTGCATTCTTTTTTTTACTGGTTGAGGCCAAAGCTCTGTTTCGAAAGCAGACCAGATGCGCTATTCTGTCTAAACAAACTCTCATTTTACCATGGAATCCATGTGTGATTTGAAATTATTTTTCAAATTAAAATCCCACCGCAGATTCCTAGGTGAAGAGTGAGTTTGTTTTTACGGAATAGCACTGATGGTTGGATGCTTCTCGGAGTGGCATCATTTAAGCTTAAATTAACGCATGATAATATGGAAGTTTGTGTGTTATCGTTGCATGTATTTTAACGTCGAATACACTGCACCTTCTTTAGCTTCGGAAATATGAAGTTCTCAGTGTGTATAGCTTGCGCGTTTACAAATAATTTGGTACTTACAATGACGTTAAAACCGCAGCTCCGCATCAAGGCCCTTTGGACGATGCAGTTTGCCATATAATTTAGAAGAAGTATGTTACACAGAAAATCTCTATGATGCAAGCTTCACATTGTTCAATTCTCTAATTTAAGAACTTCCTGGATAAATGGGAAGATGATATTGTGGAAATGTCGAGCAATGAAGCTAGTCTCATGCAGAACTATGCAGAACTGGTGGAAATGGAATATGTGTTGGACACTATCGGACCTTTGTTGGGTGATGGTGAAGAGTCTAAGCTTGGAGAGGGGTATGTTACTTACTTTATTAGAGATCAGATAGGTGAATGTTTTATTAATTAGCTTCAATATGCGTACACGAATAAAGCGGTCTAATTTGTAAGATACCTACCTAGATTCCTATCTAGGTAGGTATCTTACAAATTCTCTTATCTTCCTGATAAGAACAGCTTTAATTCATGTTATAATTACAAAATAGAGTGTCTGCCAGCACTTTCATGAAACCTCAACGTGTTTCATAATTTTCAATATAGAACTATGCACTTACAAGTATTAAAAACTCGCCCACTAAAGAGTTAAAAATGTGTACCATACAAAGTAGTTTTTTTATCAGTTATACTTTTCAGACTAGTATACTACTATTACATTTACTATGAAATTTACCATTTACTATGTTAATTTTGTTGTTAAGTAATACATATTATATTATTCTTCTCATGTTACATAGCAAATTCTCTATGACCGCTCAGCAATTACAAAGCGGTCACTTATATATATTCTCCGGAGTAGTGCGTCGTACTAGGAGCTTTCCATTCGAAATGATGCTTTGGAGGATCTCAAGAGGCAACCTCTATTATAAGCAAGCGAGCGAAGACAAAGTCGTGTATAATCCACAAACGGTAACTAAGATTATTTAGAAATAATCCTTTGTAACTTTCAGATTGACTGTATGCGTTACTTAAATACCTAACCTCCCTGTTAAGGAATTACTGGAAGTAACACGAATGACTCTACTCACTGCATCAATGCGACGCTATAGAATACTTATTTTGTAATAAATAAAATTTTTAAATCGTCAACATTTACGAGGCTCTGTGTTCAAATACAGACGCTGTATTCAGTGTCGCATCATAGGCGGTATAATGTTTGACCTATTTGGCGTTTATGTATCTTATTAGGTAAAACTCAACAATCGTAGATTTTTCTACAATTTTTATTTAATTAGATGCTATTTTTTTTAGGTCCGTGATGCTATTAGGCTCTTAACTTAAAATTATAAAAAAAATATGCAGTTGTAACTTAGGCGTTTTTCTCACGGGATCGTTGCGTTTTCATTTCTGTCCCGAATACATACAGATTCTTTAACTGGAACCATTATTAGACACCAACAACTCTTGACTGGCTCTGTTTCGTTTTTCGCATTGTTTGCTACGGTGTTTGTCATTTATTATAACGCCGTTAAGTCGGGCTGGCGAGTCAAATAGTTTGGTAGGATTCGGTACAAAGAGGTGAATGCGCTCGGCGAAGAATTTGTGCCGATACAACTCAGAGAGGAAGCTCTCTCTTGATTTCATGCACTCGGTAAAGAATCTGTACAGATTCGGCACAGAAACGAAAACAGGCTCTTGAATTCGTTTGCGAAATTCCATTGGGTCCAACTATTCTTGAAAAAGTATTCATGGCGTGTGGTCCCTAGTTATAAAATGAAGCCTACCTCTTTCAACTTTATTAAAATCTGAAGTATGTAATCAAGACTTTGTAGTTGTAAATAATTTCAAGTCAAGTAAAGAAGTAAGCTTAGTACCATTTAATACTTTTCAGGATCAAGATGTTCGTAGGGTAGCGTTCTTAGCAATCTGCCAAGGTGAAGAACTAAGTGCACGAGCTGAAAAAGTTTGTACTGGATTTCGGGTCAAATTGTACCCTATTCCGAAAAGTAGCGCGGAGCGCAATGAACTTAGCTGTAAAATAAGCACTACAATCAGTGATTTGGAACAAGTAAGAATTATCTTTTATTTACTAGGCAGTTTCTTAAGCAACTTCACTAAATATAAATACAGAGAATAAGAGAAGAGAGATAATATCGTCCATGGTAGTGTTGATGCGTCTTCGTCAACGGCGGGTATTGGTCTTCGTACTCATTTATAGTTTATAAAAGTGTAGAAAATTTTGTATGCGGATTTTATACCAATTCGAAATTTCAGTTTTATAGTTGTAATAATTTCTGAGTTATTTGCGATGCTTTTTTTTCGACGCAGTTAGTGGTAAGCTAACAGACCAGAACACATCCCTGATATCTTTACCTCACCTACTTACATACATTCCATTAAATATAATTATGGTTATTCAGTTATCTTTTTCAGGTTGTGAAAAAAACCAAATACCATAGATGCAAAGCTCTGCGCGTGGTATCTAGGCAGTGGTCCGATTGGTCAATTCAAGTGAGAAAAGCATCGGCCATTTATCACAATTTGAATCGTTTCAATTTCGATGTTACGAAGAACTGTCTAATTGGCCGGTGCTGGGTCCCTGAAAGGGATTTGAATCGAGTACAAAACTGTTTAGAAAGCAAATCGGTGAGAAGTAATAAACAATTTTTATCGTGTTTTATCCTGTGAAATAAATTTATACGATGTAGGAAGAATTTTTCTACAATTTATTTAACACTCAAACTGATAAATCATAGGTACTATGAGCGTGCAAGGTACTCGTATTTGAATAATTAGATAGCTTTTAACAATTGTTACATTTTAACAATAAATCAACATGGATAATTTTCTCTCAGTATCGAGAGGATATCAAAGTAAAAATAACTTATAAATTAATAAGAATTTGTATTAATTATCGTATGTAAACAAACATGTTGTTGTTTTGTTGTATAGTGCTCTGATGAAATATATAAAATGTTGATGCTTTTGGAGAGTTACAATATGTGTTTGTGTAGTTCAAAGTAGTCTTACTTAGTGGACTATGGAAAAACATGATGAACGATTCAAAAGGGTCGCATTTAATTAATCACATTAAAGTTTTAATTAAATTTAACGTAAGTACAGTCAATCCCATAAAGTTTACTAAGCTGTGGGGCATTTAAGATGATTTTCGAATAAACCTAACGTTGTAACTTCTATCGTTAATAGTTATAAAAAAAAATCTCTTTGCTTTGATTGATTGGAAATTTGCAGAATTGCCTGCAATCTGCGTCCTATAGGACTTCGTTCTTGACCTACCATCTATCATCTTTAACGTTCAATTAGCTTTTAGTATCTAAAGTAATAGATTTTATGGGAATTTTCGCTTGGTTCATGGAATTTGATTCATTCTACCAAATCGCGTTACGCAAATTTTAATTTGGAATCAATTGCAACTTGTTGCTACCTTATGAGATTTTTGGTGTCACCAGACGAAAATTTTATTTTTCACCAACCTTTTAGGGGCATTCCAGTTTTTTTTGGAATATAACAATAGCGTCGGTGGTCGTTTTTAGGCTTTTAGCCTTTGGACTGTTGCGTTAAATAACATCAACTCTCCATGTTCACCTCAATTGTTTTGCCGCTGTTTCCTTATTTCTAGCATATTTTTTTAGTATTGCCAAAAAAAAAAACTCCAAACTTCAAATCTGCAACAAAGGGGATTAAATAATAAAAATAGTAAGTAAAGTAAATAATACCCTAGTATGATGAAAACAAATTGAGGGACACGACGACCGTGTTCACTTACCATACCTTTGGGATTACTCTTTCATGGGATACTTTTGAGATTGATAGTGAAAACTGAATCATACTTAAATCAATGTTTCTCTTAGTAAATAAATTTATATATACATATAAAACTCAAAGGTGACTGACTGACATAGTGATCTAGCAACGCACAGCCCAAACCACTGGACGGATCGGGCTGAAATTTGGCATGCAGGTAGATGTTATGACATAGGCATCCGCTAAGAAAGGATTTTGATCAGTTTTACCCATCTATTAGTAAATAAATATTTCCAACACTCACACCAATTAGCCTAGCCCCAAAGTAAGCACGTATATTTATATAGAAATACATATTAAACATCCATGACTGGAGTACAAATGCTAGCATCTGCCCCCACAGGGATTCGAACCCGGGACCTCTCGAGTAGTTGACACTATGAAACCCGGCGTACAAACCACTCGGCCACGGAGGTCGTCAGTCAAGTCAAGTAGCAGTTTCAAAATCAAAAATTAAAAATCAATATCATTTATTTAGTCAAGGCTGTTACAAGCACTTGTGAATGTCGAAAAGCTCCGCCATCGGTTCGCAAATCTACGGCGGGAGATCTTGTACTGAGAAGAACCGGCAAGAAACTTAGCAAGGACTGATTTTTTTCTCCCTGAATTATACACAGAGTCGTCATATTGAAAAATGACTTCAATATGAGGCAATTCAAGTTTCATTATGATTATCATCAGCCTTTTAATGTCCCGACTGCAGAGAGACAGGCCTTCCAAAAGAATGGAATAGGGAGACTTAACATGCCTTCTGAAGCACGATGGAGCTCGAGATAATAAGTTTTTGGTCACCCATCAAATGACTGACCATTGCGAAAGTGGCTTAATATTCACAATCGCAGACCGAAAACGCTAACCACCTGCGGCGCCATCAAGCTCTTCAGTAGCTGTTTAGTTTGGATATAATATTAATGTGGACTCAAGTTAATTTTGCTCGTACCCTCGTGGGTACGGTACTGAAATACGCGCAATTTGTGTACCTATTCGTTTTCATTTAGGACGACAAATCTCATTGTTATTTTTAGAAAGAAGTTTGCAGTAACGTACAATCCTTTATGACTAAGAGAGTAACGGATGATAAGCCACCAACTTACTTCAGAACGAACAAATTCACGGCAGGGTTTCAACATCTGATTAACGCCTACGGTGCGGCATCATACAGAGAGTTAAATCCAGGTATATTAATAACATTTCATTGTTCTATAAGTACTTGGTAATGTAGATAATTGATTTTTAAATAAATATAAAGTGTAATTTTGCTATACTTATATTCATTTGAATTGGTTATTTCATATTTGAGGATCTGGCTAACAAAATTACATCAAATTAAATTTTACAGGAGCAGTAAAAAACTGAATGACATACCTACAGTGAGCTTTTAGTCCAGTCAATGTAAGCTTAACTTTGCCATTTTGAGTTGATCACCTGCAACCAGCGCGAAAATTTCCGTAAGAGTTCGTAGTTTAATATACTAAAATTGCAGGGTGCTGCATTGACGGCAAAGGGTGCAAAAAAATGTGAAATGGTGCAAAAACGAGTTTTTCGTCAATATCTCGCGACTGGCTGAGAAAATAGAAAAAGTTTTTAGCACAAAGTTGTACAAAATTTAATTTTCTACAAAAAAGGTATCAACATATTTTCGCGTATCTCCCATAGTTTTTGCACAAAATGCAATTAAAGGTGCAAAATAAAAAAAATATATATACACTACTGGACACATCTATTGGCCCACCTTGTATTTTCAGTTTCGTTATAGTCCAAGAGCCCACTGCGAAATATCTACCCGAATCGGACTTACGGACAAATCGTGTACGATTCGATGGGGAATGTGGTCGTGATAGGGTTGCCGGACATGATAAACCCTGTATCTTGACCGAAGGGTCGAAAAGGGCCACTTCCGGTCAATTTTTCGGGAGCCTGCTACCCGGATAAAACTTACAATCAAAATTAGTGCCAATCGATAGGGGATGTTGAGCACTTTAAGGAAAAATCGGGTTGCCACCCCCCACCCTGTCAGGGGTTGCGGCAGCCACCCTTAAGTGTGACCCATTTTCCTATTGCTCTACCCGGATCGAACTTACGATTTTTTTTTTCCAAATCGAAGCTTGAACTTTCCCCAACACGAAAAAATAGGGTTGCCACTTCTGACCTTGACCAGAACAGCCGTCAGCCAGCCCCGAGTTACCCAATTTCGAGGTTCCAATTTCGATCGCAATTTAACTACCCGCATCGAACTTACGATTTCTTTTTTTTTTAAATCGAAGCTTGAATTTCCCCGAACACAAAAAAACGAGGTTGCCAACTTTGGCCTTGACTGAAAATTTTTCTGCCAGTGAATTATGGCGTCAATATTAATTTATTTTATTTTGGAGCAGATCGAAACGAATCATGAAAAAACATTAGAAAATCAGATTTTTTTTTTTTTTATTTCATTAAGGAATGAACAATCTTTGGGCAGGTTGGTAGAGGCGTGGATTGAAAAACATGGGTTTGTATGACATGAACAAACAGTTTTATTCATTCATAATTTTACAATTCCAATTACGGTATAAAATCATTGCAATTAAAACTTAACGGCAAACTCATTCGGAATCGGAGTCGGAACTATGAACCGCAAAATCCTCATTATCATTGCTTCGAGTCGGTTCTATGATTATAATGTCTTCTACTCTCAACGGGGTTGGATCGTCTTAATCGAAAAACGAACCTTTACAAAATAAACTGTTTTTTGAACATATTGACTTTGCGTGGTGGTTGTAAAATAGATCGTTTTAAAATAGACGTTTTCGACAACGTTGTGAGAACGCCGGTAACGTTTCGTTGTGTTATTTAGAAAACGACACATATCTACTTCTATTTCAATAACCCGGCAATTTTTTTTTTGCTAGACCGAAAACAGATAGATCCCTTCTACCTGGGAATTTTGAAAAGACCCCATAATACATGAGGACGTAGCAGCTGCTGTCGTTACACTGTTGCCACGATCTCAACGCTTCGATCTGCTCCAAAATAAAATAAATTAATATTGACGCCATAATTCACTGGCAGAAAAATTTTCAGTCAAGGCCAAAGTTGGCAACCTCGTTTTTTTGTGTTCGGGGAAATTCAAGCTTCGATTTAAAAAAAAAAGAAATCGTAAGTTCGATGCGGGTAGTTAAATTGCGATCGAAATTGGAACCTCGAAATTGGGTAACTCGGGGCTGGCTGACGGCTGTTCTGGTCAAGGTCAGAAGTGGCAACCCTATTTTTTCGTGTTGGGGAAAGTTCAAGCTTCGATTTGGAAAAAAAAAATCGTAAGTTCGATCCGGGTAGTGCAATAGGAAAATGGGTCACACTTAAGGGTGGCTGCCGCAACCCCTGACAGGGTGGGGGGTGGCAACCCGATTTTTCCTTAAAGTGCTCAACATCCCCTATCGATTGGCACTAATTTTGATTGTAAGTTTTATCCGGGTAGCAGGCTCCCGAAAAATTGACCGGAAGTGGCCCTTTTTTCGACCCTTCGGTCAAGATACAGGGTTTATCATGTCCGGCAACCCTATCACGACCACATTCCCCATCGAATCGTACACGATTTGTCCGTAAGTCCGATTCGGGTAGATATTTCGCAGTGGGCTCTCCGACTATTAGGTCCTAGCTAAAATTTTATAATAGGTCGAGCAAAAGTTTTTATGCAGTTTTGAACCTGGCACATTCACAATTTCATTCAATAGTCTTTTTCTGAATTTCAATCACAGAATTTAATGAAAGAAAAGACAATTTGGAGCCTGTTTGTTGATATCAAACAATCGAATACTAAGAAAACTTGGTTTTATTGGTTTACTTGGATTTAATTCTTGAAAAAGTGATTGATATCTTTGGTTTTGCAACAAACATTACTTATTCTTAACATTAAGGTGAGGTTCTATCAATAATCTATGGATACTTCACCTGAAGTCGCCGCCCAAGCTGTGGCACTTATTCAGGCCGGACACAGCCAAAGAAACGTGAGTGCTCAACTTAATTTAAGTCGATCTGCGGTCCGAAATGTTTATCGGAGGTATCTAGAGACTGGCGGCTTTGTTCGTCGCCAAGGAAGGCCACGATCTCTGAAAGGCAGGATCGATTCATCGTGACGACCAGCTTGAGAAATCGTCACCTTACCTCCATTGAGATACAAAAACAAATTCGCGACTTCCACGGAGTATCTGTGAGCGCTCGAACTGTTCGGAAAAGGTTAAAAGAACGCGATATGGTACCACACAAGCCAGCTAATGGGCCCAAACTAACGCGAGCTCACCGAACAGCGCGCCTTCATTTCGCACGCAGTCATTTAAATTGGACACAGCAAGATTGGAGCCGTGTACTCTTTTCTGATGAGTCTAAAATTGTGTTACATGGCAATGATGGAAGGAAGAAGGTTTACCGACGTAAGGGAGAGCGTTTCGCACAATGCTGCTTTGAAGAGAGGGTTGCTTATGGCGGTGGCTCATGGACTGTCTGGGGCGGTATATCCGCGAGCGGCAAAACTCAACTTGAGGTTGTTACAGGACCACGGCTGCCAACATTAAATGCTGAACGGTACATTCGTGAGTGCTTAGAACCTCACGTGATACCATACACGGACTATGTGGGCCCAAATTTCCTTTTTATGCATGATAATGCAAGAGCCCATGCGACCGGCATCGTCAGGGAATATCTTCGGGATGTGAACATCACAGTTATGGACTGGCCAGCCAGAAGCCCAGACATGAACCCCATTGAGCACATGTGAGACGAGCTAAGAAGACGTGTTAGGGCTCGTCAGCCAGTTGCCCAGACGATGCAGGAGTTGAAAACTGCCATAGAAGAGGAATGAGAGATGATCCCTCAAAATTTTATAGAGCGGTTGATAAACTCTATGTCTAATCATATGAGAGCTGTGGTAGATGCCCATGGAGGCAACACGCGTTATTAAATTAAACCTTTATTTGATAAAACATGTTTTTTATTCAAAAATCAATTGCCTTTAACAAGGCGCATATCCGACTTGTTAGGCGTAGCTCCATGTCGTATGGTATTCTGAATTCAAATTTAAAACAATACGATTGAAAAAGATGGTAGAATGTATCAGGTTTAAAACTGCATCAACAGTTTTTGTTCAATCTAGCAATCATATTTCGGTAGGGGCCATCGAAACCTAAACTCTAAGGTGGGCCAATAGATGTGTCCAGAAGTGTATATTGTTAATCGTCTTTTTTTTTCATTTTAAAACGATCCTACGTGTCAAATTCAATAATCACCACTTACTAAAATATTTAAGGATAAGTTTTTGGGAGTCCACTGAAATGAAAAGTGTCTACTGAAATGGTAAAAAATTACCATCGGAATGGTACAGCCAAGAACATCGCCTTTGTAATAGAAGGTTTCCTACTTTGAATCTAAATAAATTTCTTTATTCTTTGTAAATATTTTTGTTCGTTATTTAATAATAAGAATTATTTATCAACAATCATTTATTTGGTAATCCTATTAATTATTATTACTAATTATAATTATTCTCAAAATAACGAACAAAGCGCGTTTAGAAAGTGAGAAGTTTATTAGTTAGTAAATTGTCCTCTTAGTGCCAAAACCGATTATCTGCACTTTTCCGCTACTGAACTTTTATAATACCAATCGACCCTTCTCTTTAAGCCGCATCTACGGGTAATACCCATTATGCTCTACGACACATACTTCCTGAAATAGCTAATGAATAAACAGAATAACTGCAAATGATTTCCAAAATTCTTGATTTAAAACCTAATAAACCCATTCAAATCACTTAAGTTTGTAAATGTATTACCGCTGAAATCAAGTTTCGGATTTAAACTCATTTTTCATGTAGACACTTAGAGTAAATATCCTGTGAGATTATTCTGCTAAAATTAGGTATCCCACGGTAATTGGTTTTGACTGTTTGAATTTAACCAGATATTTTACTAGATGAAGTAAAAACTAACAAATCTGTCGCTTTTTGCAAAAAAAAAATATATTTACGTTATATTTGAGGCAAGTAAAAGAAGATACCGAATTTCAATTTGTTTTTCCTGCATAACTTTTATTCGACGCTTTATAAATTACTTCAGCTAAAATCGATTATCGGTGCTTACTCTTTTCTTCCATTGTAATTTATTAGCGGTAGTCATCGTTACTTTAAAATTTATGCTTCAGCTAAA